CATGTTTGTTTTTAATTAAATAATAACTGTTTTTGAATGTCCCGAGATGCATGGCTTGTTATTTTATGTATGTAAACAAGTGCTAAAAAAAAACATGGATTGTGATTATTTATTTATTTATATAGACCATTTTTTTATTTATCATTTATTTTGAAGTAATTCATTAATTATAATTAATGTTTGAATATTAAAAATAAATGCTGAAAATTGAGGTTAAGAGAACGTTAGGGGAATGTTCGCATCAGTTATTTTCTCCACAAGGTGTGCAACCAAATATTAAGTTGAGGGTGCCAACAATTTTGTTCGACCTAATTTTTGAGTTTTGTGTAAAATGATGTCAAATTTGCCTTTTTTCTTCTGCTTTTTTGTGCTGTTCCAATGCACTTAAAGGTAATAAACATGTGTATACCAAAACATTTGTCATTTTCTGGAAAAGTTCCAGGGGTGCCAATAATTTCGTCCATGACTGTATATAAATAAAATTTACTTACTTACATACTTACTTACTAACTAACCAAAAACAAACCTTAAAAATGAACATTCTGAGAACCAAAAATTGTTAACTGTGTACAGAGCAATGGCAATGCATTTTTTTTTTTCCAACTGAATATCTGTCCTGGAGAACAACACCCTTTCATTTCGGGGATGTCCCCAAAGTAATACCACACTGCTGATTTTAATTTCTTTATCGACAGGGGATGGGAATATCAGAATCACTTCTCCCTGATATTTTCTTCTGTGTGTGTGTGTAGCAAGTTGAGTCTGACAGGCAGTCGAGGAGTAAAGGAAATGTGCGTGTGCAGGTGAGATTCTCTGTCCGGTTGCTTTTTTTTCCCCAATACCGTAGATAAACAAATGTACATGGTATGATAAATTGAACTGAATTTTCATTCCGCGGTATAACGTGAAACCGGTATCCCACTGCAACCCTACTTTCAACACAGTCAACAAAATCAAAACACTTAACAGAAACTGGTCTGTCCCGAACTCGCAGCTTTCTCTCTGTCAATGTTAAGTTCACACGGTGTGTGTGTCGGTGTGTGTTGTGTGTATCTCGAAACACGGCTTGCTATCTCACATTCTTTTCTCTCTCACCAGTTACAGGACTCCTGAAGTCACAAAGAGACACCAACCACGACCTCACTACCTCATATATGAACATAGTACACTAACTAGAAATCTCTGCATACTCAGTAGGAGGTCTATGTAACATTCTGTATTTCCCAGTTTACCTTAATCACCTGCATATTTACATATTTAATAAAAACATAATTTAATGCACATATAATCCATCAATGCCTAATTTAACCATAGTTGTAGGGTGTTTCATTCATCCATTATTACATCCATCATATCCCTTCACTTTTCCTCTCTCCTTATTGTATTTCAGACTGTCAAAGATAAACTGAACTCTGTGCTGTTCCACATGACCTTCTCATGTGTGGAGGTGAGGAGAATGTCATCAACTTATAGGGGGAATTTGTGATAACTTACTAAAGAAGACTGAGTAAGCAACAGGATCTGAGTCCCCACACAGTGCTTTTAGCCTCTGTACACCCTAGTCAGCTGGTATCATTGTACCTACAGTGCTGCTTGAAAGTTTGTAAACCCTTTAGAATTTTCTATTTCTGCATAAATAATACACTACATTACATTATTGTATACACGGTCACTCAAATGTGTAAATGATGGCAGAAAGTACACTCGTGGCATCTATTATTTAATTTTACTCCATGGATATTCCAATTAGTATAGGAAAAAATATGAAACAAAAGGTTTCCTATTTTTAGAAAGCCAGAATATGGTCACCCTAACTTTTGTGATGTAATGTTACCTGCATCAGGGACAGGGATATTTTATTTTATTCAAACATTGAACATGTTTTTAGGCTCTAAAATAAAAATATTTTAGATCATATTGCTTTTCTTGACTTTATTTACATATTTGACCTTGAAGTAATCCAAAAGTAATCAGATTACATCACATTCATATTGTGAGACTTGGATTACGTTACTGATTACATTTTTTTATGAAATATATTGTAACTGTAAAGGAATACATCTTAAAGTATCCCTCCTGACCCTGATGATGTCACATGAATGAAGTCATGTAATTTCTATCAAGCACTTCCACAGAAAATCCTCAGTAATATAAGTTTTTATGTTCACGTATCAAGCCACAAAAACATGCAGAATCATGACAGTAGCATCAGCTTGACTATTAGGTGAAGAACAAGTTTCTTATACATATCAATTATATTCAATTGTTAGGAAATAAAGTCAAAGGTGACTGACTGACTAATAAGTGATGATTTCTGTCTTGAGCAGTAATGAAGTGAATTATTCTTTAAGGTAGAAAAGTGAAAATTAAGAGTAAACAGAGAGAAGGAAGCTATAAATTTGTTATAATGAGACTCAGTTACAGTGTAGCTCACTGAAAAACAATCTGGAACAAATCTGAAAGCTAAACAGAATTATAACAATTACAACAAAAGTAATAAACTCACACACTCACCTGATACAGTGAGTGTAACAGGATCACTGATCTCGGAGATCTGATAGTAACTGCTTCTCCTCCCTCTGCAGGTGTATTTACCACTGTCAGAGTCTGTAACTGAGCTGATGATGAACTCCTGTTTTGTGCGGTGTAGGTTCTCTATATCATTCTTATACCAGCTGTATGTCCACCAAGTGTCTCCTCCTCCCTTTTTGTTACATCTGAGAGTCACTTTCTCTTCTCTGTACACCTGTGTATCGGGCTTTATAATCACCTCAGGTTTACGTCTCACTGTGAAAAAAACAAAATGTTTTAAATGTATGAATTAATTCTCCTCCAAACACAGCGAGTTGAGTTGATGCCAAAGAGCTCCATTTTGGTCTCATCTGACCACCAGAGGACAACTGGGTGAAAGTGTTGTGGTCAAAAGAGACCAAAATGGAGCTCTTTGGCATCAACTCAACTCGCCGTGTTTGGAGGAGGAGGAATGCTGCCTATGACCCCAAGAACACCATCCCCACCGTCAAACATGGAGGTGGAAACATTATGCTTTAGGGGTGTTTTTCTGCTAACGGGACAGGACAACTTCACCGCATCAAAGGGACGATGGGTGGGGCCATGTACCGTCAAATCTTGGGTGAGATCCTCCTTGAAAAGTAATTACTAAGTCATTACCAAGTTCTAAGTCATGTTTTGCAGAGGGGTCAAATACATATTTCCCTCATTAAAATGAAAATCGATTTTATAACATTTGACAAAATAAATTCAACATAAATTCAATTATGAATGTCCATGTTAAATATTAATAAAATAAAGTAATATATATAGAAATGACTGTTAAATATAAATAGACTATAATTGTTGTGGAGTGAGGGGTCTTTGTGTATTGTTCGAAATATGCTAGGGGTCCAGAGCTCACAAAAGGTTGAGAACCACTGGTCTAGTGTATGAATTTCAGAAAGGTAATATCATCTCAAATGGAACACATTCATTTTTTACTAACCGGAGGTATAAGCGGCTTCTTAGTCGACGGTGTTTGATGTCATTTGCATGTAATGTGATGCCGCTAGCTTTAGCAGACACGCAGAGTCACCGACAGTGACTTTTTTCAGTTTACTGTTTATGTCAATGTTACCGTTTATTCCCAACATGACCTCAGTCACCATCAGATGGAGGTAACTGTCAAGTGACTGAGGAAGAAAGTGTGTGACCTCCAAGTCCTCTAAGACAGGGGGCATTTTACATTAAACACCCTGAAGAAGATCAAACTTTATAAAGTGGAGTTGTGTAGCACTGAAGCACGACAGTGAGGCATGAGCTCAATCTTATGTTTGTATCCAAAATGTTCCACTGTGTGCAAGGGCTTGGGGAAACTGGTACAAGCTGCTTAAAAGATTTAGTTTAATTGAAGTTTATTGTCATGATATTCTGTATTTGCAAGCTTGCAGTGTAACTATTGTTTACTATAACTGAAGTGATCTGTTAGTAACGAGGCCGTATTGCTCCTCACTTGCAGAGGGAGTGCAAGTTAGATCTGTAATGTCCAATTAAAACACTGTGATCAATAGTAAAATAATATGCCTAAAGGCAGTGAATAACAGAACTGATAAGGTGCAGTGAAAAAGAGATTTTATTATTAATTTAAGTGTGTCAACCAAATATTAAACCATATTGAGCATCTGTGGGGCATACTCAAACAGAAGGTGGAGCACAAGGTCTCTAACATTCACCAGCTCCATGATGTGGTCATGGAGGAGTGGAAGAGGACTCCAGTGGCAACCTGTGAAGCTCTGGTGAACTGGAAATTAATGGTGGCCACACAAAATATTAACACATTGGGATCAATTTGGACATTTTCACTTAGGGGTGTACTCACTTTTGTTGCCATTACTTTACATTGTAGCAAAGTGTCATTTCTTCACATGAAAATATATAATCAAATATTTACAAAACTGTGAGGGGTGTACTCACTTTTGTGAGATACTAATTTTATTATATATATATATATATATATATATATATATATATATATATATATATATATATATATATATATATATATATATATATATATATATATATATATATATATATATATATATATATATATAAATAAATGTATTACTTTTTATGGATTCACAAAAAGCACTGAATTAAATTAGTCTTAAATTAATAATATATATTCTGGTGTGTGTCTGTGAATATTGGGTTCTTTTCAGTCTTATTTAATTGGACTAACAGTTGTGTAGTCTGAAGTTTATATCTGCAACACTCAGATTGTGGATTTTATTTTAAATAAAGTAAAAAATAATTGGCCAACTAACCGATTATGAAAATAATCATTAGTTGCAGCCCTACATACACATTACAACACAGTGAAATTCTTTTTTTGCATATCTCAGATTGTTAGGAAGTTGGGGTCAGCGAGCAGGGTCAACCATGATACAGCACATCTGGAGCAGAGAGGGTTAAGGGCCTTGTTCAAGGGCCCAACAGTGACAGCTTAGCAGTGATGGGGCTTGAACCCCTGACCTTCTAATCAATAAACCACAGCCTTAACCGTTGAGCCACCACTGCTAACAGAGCGAACACACAGGCGTCTGTCTGTGCAGTGTGAACCGGGCTTTACACTCAGTGGTTCAGTATAAAAGTTCGACCCTCGTCCTCTTCACTCATTCACACTCAGGCAGGTCTCCACTCGAGCATGTTGATGTTTCTGAAGCAGTAACTTTATGAAGCCCCTTTTACAGCCTCTGAGCAGCTTGTTCAAAGAGTTTTACAGGTTTTGGTGACATTTTCTACCAAAGCTAAACTAGTGTTGTTCCACTGTCTTTCAGCTCACCTCACACCAGCCCTGCTCAGCCGTGCTCACACTGTCTCTCTCTAACTTTAATAACATGATTTAGCTGAAAGAGTTCTCTGTATGTAGCTGTGTAAATGTTGCTATATTGTGACTCTGCTCACATGTTGTTTATATGTTCAGTGTTGTGCAGAATCACTTAACAGAAAGTCTCTTACTCACCAATAACGTCTAACCTGAGTTCATCACTGTAGTCTGTGTAGACTCGGTTTCCTCTTCCAGCTCTGCACCTGTACTGACCTCCATCATAGACACTAACTGATCTGATGTAGGAGTGTGTTTCAGTCTCAGTGCTCCATCTTCGTTTGCTCCAGTAAAACTTCCATCCATCAGACTGCGGCTGCAGTGTACAGTACAGAGTCACTGAGTTTCCTGTCAGTACATCTCCTTTAGGGTCTGGCGGGTTACGGGAGGTTTAGGTTTTTCTGTTAGAAATGAAACACAAGTTCAGGATGTGAAGTCTTTACTACACTAATCACTTCTACAGTAAAACAGTATTACTCTCTCTGTGATGTCACTAAACATCTTATGACTACTTTCAAATTATTTGACAGTTTTCAGTTAGTAAAATGATGAGAATGAAAAGAGGGATATTAAATGTAAAGCTTCACTGAGATTGAAGTGAGGGTCAGAAAATAACTGCAGTGTGATGATGCAGGTCTCTAATCTCTCTCTACTCTACATCAGTTTGTTTTTATGGGTGAATAGAGTAGGGTTGCGTGAAATCACGATTTCACAGTATTTTTTAGAAAGCCAGAATATGGTCACCCTAACTTTTGTGATGTAATGTTACCTGCATCAGGGACAGGGATATTTTATTTTATTCAAACATTGAACATGTTTTTAGGCTCTAAAATAAAAATATTTTAGATCATATTGCTTTTCTTGACTTTATTTACATACTTGACCTTGAAGTAATCCAAAAGTAATCAGATTACATCACATTCATATTGTGAGACTTGGATTACGTTACTGATTACATTTTTTATGAAATATATTGTAACTGTAAAGGAATACATCTTAAAGTATCCCTCCTGACCCTGATGATGTCACATGAATGAAGTCATGCAATTTCTATCAAGCACTTCCACAGAAAATCCTCAGTAATATAAGTTTTTATGTTCACGTATCAAGCCACAAAAACATGCAGAAACATGACAGTAGCATCAGCTTGACTATTAGGTGAAGAACAAGTTTCTTATACATATCAGTTATATTAAATTGATAGGAAATAAAGTCAAAGGTGAAATGATGTTCCACCAGTCAGACTGACTAATAAGTGATGATTTCTGTCTTGAGCAGTAATGAAGTGAATTATTCTTTAAGGTAGAAAAGTGAAAATTAAGAGTAAACAGAGAGAAGGAAGCTATAAATTTGTTATAATGAGACTCAGTTACAGTGTAGCTCACTGAAAAACAATCTGGAACAAATCTGAAAGCTAAACAAAATTATAACAATTATAACAAAAGTAATAAACTCACACTCACCTGATACAGTGAGTGTAACAGGATCACTGATCTCGGAGATCTGATAGTAACTGCTTCTCCTCCCTCTGCAGGTGTATTTACCACTGTCAGAGTCTGTAACTGAGATGATGGTGAACTCCTGTGTTGTGTGGTGACGGTTCTCTATATCATTCTTATACCAGCTGTATGTCCACCAAGTGTCTCCTTCTCCCTGTATGTTACATCTGAGAGTCACTTTCTCTTCTCTGTACACCTGTGTAGCAGGCTCTATAATCACCTCAGGTTTACGTCTCACTGTGAAAAAAACAACATTTTTAAATGTATGAATTAATTCTCCTCCAAACACGGCGAGTTGAGTTGATGCCAAAGAGCTCCATTTTGGTCTCATCTGACCACCAGAGGACAACTGGGTGAAAGTGTTGTGGTCAGATGAGATCAAAATGGAGCTCTTTGCCATCATACCGTCAAATGGGCTACAAGACCAGTGCCAAGCAGCTTGGTGAGAAGGTGACAACAGTTCAACAGACAACAGTGCGATTATTCGCAAATGGAAGAAACACAAAAGAACTGTCAATCTCCCTCGGCCTGGGGCTCCATGCAAGATCTCACCTCATGGCGTTGCAATTATCATGACAACAGTGAGGAATCCGCCCAGAACTACACGGGAGGGTCGTGTCAATGATCTCAAGGCAGCTGGGACCATAGTCACTAAGAAAACAATTGGTAACACACTAAGCCGTGAAGGACTGAAATCCTGCAGTGCCTGCAGTGTCCCCCTGCTCAAGAAAGCACATATACATGCCCGTCTGGAGTTTGCCAATGAACATCTGAATGATTCAGAGGACAACTGGGTGAAAGTGTTGTGGTCAAAAGAGACCAAAATGGAGCTCTTTGGCATCAACTCAACTCGCCGTGTTTGGAGGAGGAGGATTGCTGCCTATGACCCCAAGAACACCATCCCCACCGTCAAACATGGAGGTGGAAACATTATGCTTTGTGGGTGTTTTTCTGCTAAGGGGACAGGACAACTTCACCGCATCAAAGGGACGATGGAGGGGGCCATGTACCGTCAAGTCTTGGGTGAGAACCTCCTTCCCTCAGCCAGGGCATTGAAAAAGAAAAGTAATTACTAAGTCATTACCAAGTACTAAGTCATGTTTTGCAGAGAGGTCAAATACTTATTTCCCTCATTAAAATACAAATCAATTTATAACATTTTTGACATGCGTTTTTCTGGATGTTCTTGTTGTTATTCTATCTCTCACTGTTCAAATAAACCTACCATTAAAATTATAGACTGATCATTTCTTTGTTAGTGGGCAAACGTACACAATCAGCAGGGGATCAAATACTTGTTTAACTGACTGTAGCAGCTAAACCCATACACTGATAGCTTAGTTAATTTAGTTTGTCTAGCGACACCAAACTAGCCTAGTCTCCTGTTAGATAGCAAGTTTTATATTTTATCGGTCTGGTAGTCCTGCAAACAGTGATTACACCCGAGGCAAGTTTTATGATAAATCCAATTTTTTTGTCCATTTTTAAAATTATTTTTAAGCAACTAACTCTCAGATGCAAGAACAAATGCATGGAAACATTTTATTTTGAAGTATGTTCACCTAGCGCACTTTAAACAACCAACAGACGTGACTGAACATGTTCATTCGGTGAAAACTAATGCTGACAAACGCAAAATCTCACACATATACATAGAGGTGCGACAACTAATCGATAAAATCGATAATAATCGATTATGAAAATCATTTTCAACGAATCTCATTATCGATTAGTTGGTCTGCCCACGGTACATTTACTCATTATGTTACTTCTGTTCCGAAAACACGCTTCGGAGAGTAAATACTAAAGTTGTGTCCCAAATGATGTACTGTACAACTGAGCTGATGATCGAGCATTGATGGATTTATTTTACATTTATTTACAAATGACATGATAATTTGCAAAAACATATGTAGACAAGTTCACGAGTCACATTGATGGATAAAATAAACAAAAGATAATTCAGTGTCAAATTAAATGTCACACCAACAATAACATTTAAAAATATATATAAAATAAATTCAACATAAATTCAATTTTGAATGTCCATGTTAAATATTAATAAAATAAAGTAACATCTATAGAAATGACTGTTAAATATATAGCCTATAATTGTTCTGGAGTGAGGGGGTCTTTGTGTATTGTTCAAAATATGCTAGGGGTCCAGAGCTCACAAAAGGTTGAGAACCACTGGTCTAGTGTATGAATTTCAGAAAGGTAAAATCGTCTCAAATAGAACACAGTAGTTTTTTACTAACCGGAAGTATAAGCGGCTTCTTAGTCGACGGTGTTTGATGTCATGCACATGTAATGTGATGCTGCTAGCTTTAGCAGACACCCAGAATCACTGACAGTGACTTTTTCCAGTTTACTGTTTATATCAATGTTACCATTTATTCCCAACATGACCTCAGTCACTTGACAGGTACCTCCATCTGATAGTGACTGAGGTCATGTTGGGAATAAATGTGCGAAGAAAGTGTGCGACCTCCAAGTCCTCTATGTCAGGGGGCATTTTATATTAAACACCCTGAAGAAGATCAAACTTTATAAAGTGGAGTTTGTGTAGCACTGAAGCAACACAGTGAGGCATGAGCACAATCTTATGTTTGTATCCAAAATGCTGTGTGCAAGGGCTTGGGGAAACTGGTGCAAGTTGATTAAAATATTTAGTTTAATTGAAGTTTATTGTCATGATATTCTGTATTTGCACGCTTGCAGTGTAACTGTTGTTTACTATAACAGAAGTGATCTGTTAGTAACGAGGCCGTATTGCTCCTCACTCACAGAGGGAGTGCAAGTTAGATCTGTAATGTCCAATTAAAACACTGTGATCAAAAGTAAAACAATATGCCTAAAGGCAGTGAGTAACAGAAACCAAAAGGTGCAGTGAAAGGGAGTTTTTATTATTAATTTAAGTGTGTCAACCAAATATTAAACCCTATTGAGCATCTGTGGGGCATACTCAAACAGAAGGTGGAGGAGCACAAGGTCTCTAACATCCACCAGCTCCGTGATGTTGTCATGGAGGAGTGGAAGAGGACTCCAGTGGCAACCTGTGAAGCTCTGGTGAACTGGAAAATAATGGTGGCCACACAAAATATTGAAACTTTGGGCCCAATTTGGACATTTTCACTTAGGGGTGTACTCACTTTTGTTGCCATTGGTTTAGACATTAATGGCTGTGTGTTGAGT